AGGCCTTGGTGGTGGAAGTGCAGAACCCTTGGAGAAAGGGCGGAGTCATTTGTGAGATAAGTGGTTTCTTGTCTCAAAGAAAGTGTGGGCACTATGTGTACACTAGCATGCGTTTGTGCACACGCCTGTGTAGGGGAACAGGGGAGACTTTTGGGATAAGAAAGCAGTGTTCAACTAATGAGAGAACTGGGGGCTAGCATCAGGTTCTCCCTCCAGGTCCATCTCCGGCCCGCGGGGCAGGGCTCATCATTGCTTCTGCCGGTCCCCTGGGATGCTGCCCTTCTCATTGCCTAGCCCACTGCCCTGTCCTTCACCGCAGGTGCTGCTCCCGCGTCCCCGGCTACCCTGCCCCTCTGCTCGGCACTGCTCTCTTCTCCCTCTGAGCTTCTGTCCACCTGCCCTACTTCCGGCCTGCCCCCCTGCTGTGCCCTCTGCCGGTCCTGCAGAGGTGGGGTGGGGTGCAGCTTGGCAGGCTGAGTCAACACTGGACATTTCTGCCTCTGTACCCCAAATCCCTCAGCAGAACCACCAACCTCAGGGCCCAAATCCCTCATGTAGCCCAGAAAAGCTGGTGCCTCATCTTGCCTTGCCGAGGGGCTTGGCAATATGGTGTCGCGAGGCCTCTGTGCCAGGGAGAGTGGTTCACAGCTGGCATTTTCCTCTGGCTCCCCTTCCTGGAGGGGAGCCAAGCCTTGGAGGCCATGCGGTGGCTGACGCAGAACAGGCCCACAGACCTGGGTGCGTGCGCATCTACTGTCAGCCACATGCTGGGGCGAGTCGCTTGGCCTCTCTGAGCTTCAGTTTCCAGCTCTATAAAATAATGCCGAGAACTAAGGAAGGGAAAGGATCTTGTCAAGTGTGTGACACAGGTAGGATCAGAATAAACGCCAGTGTCTCCCCGCCTAACTTTCCCCAGCAGCCAAACCGGGACCTTGGAGAAGTTCCAGCAATGGACAGCAGTCTGATACTCTGTCTTTAAGATGTGGTGTGGGGATCCCTCACTTCCTGCTAGCTGCTAGGGTCACTGAGCTAGGGAGAAAGGACAGGTGTTTTTTCTCCCCAGCCTGGTGATTTGGGCCTAAATAGCCCAGAGGCTTCTGCCCATCACACTAGAGGGCTGCACTCAACCAGTGCCCAGAGCAGCTTAATCTGGGGTGAGACCGCCCTCCGACAGTCCACAGAAACTCAGAGACCTCAACCTAAATCCTTCAAGGTGTTAAGGCATCCGATCCCTCTTCTGTCAAGTGGGACTCCCAGGCTCTTCCGTCCCGTGATGATCTGTTCCCAGAACTGTCCCAGGTGTAAGGAGCAGCTGAGTCAGCTATGCTCTGGATTGACAAGGGGGGCAGCATCTTTGCCTTCAGAGCTGCCCAGCTTTGTGGAGACATGAGGTGGTGTCACCTTGCAAAGAGATTAGAGAGACTTTAGTCTCTTTCAGGCAAGGGGAGTCATGGGGTGGTTCCCACCCTCACCTATAGCATTGAGGGACAGGGCTAGGGCAGGAAGGCCCAGGAGGTCCTGGAGGAAGCTGGGGCCTCTGGGGCCAACAGAGCCTCAGAGCACTTGAATCTGGGCTTTTCACACCATCCTATGGAGTCTGAGGCCTGAGTAAGAGGAAGGGGTGGTTTCAAGGCCCCACCACTGGAGTTAGAACCAGATTAGGAACCAGGTCCTGGAGGAGGTTTGGATGGACACAGAGAGGGCCTCCCAGGGGTGGACAGCAAGCGCAGAACTGGAGGTAGAAAAGCAGTCGCTCCGTGGGACACAGAGGGGCAGCTTGGCTGCTGCAGAGTTAGGGGCTGCGGCCCAGGTTGCCCTCAGCTACAGACGGCAGGACCTGGAACAGAGGGCGCCCTTGTTGATTAAGTGCCGTTTGCATGCTAGGCTCTGGGGCATCTTTCAGTTCCTGGGTGTTGGACCTGAAGAAAGTAGGTCTGCGGGGATCATCTGCCACCTTTCCTGCTGCACTCGACATTGTGCACATGGGAACCAAGAGGTCAGGCCCCAGCTCTGCAGCCAGAGGAGAGGAAGCTGCATGTCCTGGCCTCCACCCCGTCCAGTCGCCACAGGCCATGGAAACATCTGAGAGGCCGACTCACCTTTCACCTCCATGGCCCGAGCTCCTCCTGGGGACTTCTTTGGATAGGAAACAACTTGCTGCCCCGCCCGCCCTTTGCAGCACTGCCCGGCAGGACTCCTTGTTCTTAGGCCTGGCTGTGTGCCCCTGCCTCTCTGGGCCTCAGTTTCCCTACTATGACAGTGAGGTTTTATCAGCTCACCACTCTGTCTTTTCAACTCTAAGGTGGCCACATCTTGAACTGGGGCTCGAACAGCTGTGAGGGACAGGCCAGCACTCTGGAGGCGGGAGTGAGCAGCGGAGCTCGGGCCTCGCCCCTCCGACCAGGAGCTGCTCTGGTGGCAGGGGCCCAGCTGTGACCCTCAAGTGTCGAGCTGCCAGGGAGAGGGCAGCCTGAGGCCTCTGAGCAGCGATACCAGCAGGGTCGCCGTGGGCAGGGGAGCGTGGCCGCAAGATGAGGGACAGGTTTTCAGGGTGTAATTAGTGCACTCTAGGTGCCTCCAAACTTCCCCTTCCTCTTGACGCTTTGCTGCCAAACAGTCCTGGTGCCTGTGGACTTGCTTAAATCTCATCCAGAAAAGAGAAAGGAAAGAAAAGGGGGAAAAGAGGGTTGTTATTTGTGAAATTGCATTTCCCAGCCATGAGGGTGAGTCACACATTTGGAGCTTCAGGTTTTGTGTTTGGATGAACTTTCCTCTGGGAGGCTGGGGCCATGCTGCCCTCCCTCAGGCTGGGGGGGGGGGGGTTGGGGGGGGAGGCCTAGAGTCTATCTAAGGAGAGACCTTGGCAGTGGAAAGTCGGGGTGCTCCGCCAGGTGAGGCTGGGTTGGTTGTATCTGAACTGCCTGGGGGAGCTTTAAAACAGCAGCTTCAAGCTGGGTGGGGGAGGGGCAGTTAGTGCTTAATGGGAACGGAGTTTCAGTTTGGGATGATGAAAATTTCTGAAGATGCTTGGTGGTGGCATAACTATGGGTGTACTCAACGCCACTGGAGTGTACACTTAAACATGATTAAAATGATAGATTTTATGTATGTGCAGTTTACCACAATAAAAAGTACAGATTCCGGGTGCTCCATCCCAGGCGGCTGCTTTGGTAGGTTTGAATTGGGGACCAGAAAACTGTTTGTTAAAAGTTTCACAGGTCATTCAATACAAGTTGGAACATGCTCGTCTAATCTGTACAATGGGGACAATGACTCATAGGGTTGTGAGCATCAGCAATCTTAGTATGTGTCAAGTTTTCAGGGCCTGGTACATAGTAGGTGCTCAGTTATGATCTCATCCCATTTCCATCGGAACCCTTCCATACCCCTTAAGTTGTTCAGTTTTGGCGCTCACACATCCAGGGGTGGGGCGCCCTCTGCCTCTCAGGATGGACCACCCCGTCTCGGGCATCTGCGAGCTGGCGCATTGCCCTCAGACTGAATGCAGGTCTGTGGCGTCTTCCACCGGTGCTGGGTTGCAGGGTAGCACCGGCCGTGGTAGAGCAGAGCAGTCATTAGGAGCCTTCGAGTTCCGTGCCCAGGACATGTCGCCTGTGTCTTTCCTTGCAGATCCTAGGCTCCAGTCTGAACCTACATGCGAGGGAACAGAGGCCCAGAGGAGTCACACCGCAGGGTGTCCAGGGAGTCAGGAAGAATGTTGGCACCCAGAGAGTGCGGGCTGTGTCCTCTGGACGGGGAGTGCCAGACCCCAGAGATGGAACATATAGGGAGGCTGAGGCATAATTGTGTGAGGGGTGGGATCTGTCCTGATTGGGGGGGTCCCTGATCCACTGGGGCCAGGTCTTAGCTCACCTCCATCCTCTTCTCACACGGAATGGACGGTCCCCACCTTGGGCCGCTGTCTGCCCCATCTTCGTAAGAGAGCCTTAGGCGACTTCCTCTCAGGGGCTGTCCTCACCCGTCAGCTCGAGGCTTCCCAAGAACAAGACCGTGTCTCTCCATCAGACCCAGGCTCCCCACGGGCTGCAGCTCATTCCTGGAGTTCTCAGGCACCGGCGCTGGGGTCAGGGGATGCCCACGCCCATGCCCAGGTTTGTCATTGAGCCTCCTGAGGAAGCTGCCTCTCTCCAGCCTTGGCCTTGCCTCAGGAAAGGGAGCCCATGGCCTCACCGCAGGCCCCACCTTTACTAAATTCCAGTGTGCCTGTGACTCCTATAAATAGAGGGTGTATATACCAGGAGGGGCCTGGGCCACGTCTGCTTTGAAGCCAGGCGAGACATCTGGTTCCTGTCAAGTGGAGGTGGCAGAGGTGAGAGAGGTGGGAGAGGGGCTCCTTCCTCCCTGAGTTCCCGGAGAGCCGGCCCCCTGGACGCCGGGCGCAGTCTGCACGGCCGCTGCTGGAGGCCAGGCACAGCGCTTTCGGTCTGCTCCTCTGTGCGGTAGAAACCACGCTGCAGCCGACATTCCTCTTACCAACGGAGGAAACCGAGTCAGCTCCGAGATAAGGGACTTGTCCACAGTCACCCCACCAGTGGCAGAACCCCAAACCTGGCAGGTGGTTTTTGCTGTACCTGCTTATCCCCTGGCAGTGCCCAAAGAAGAATTAATGACAGTAATAATTAACGTTATCATCATCACCACCAACCACCCTTTACCCAGCTGCTCCTGAGTGCTGAGCAGGGGATAAGTACTGTGCCTTTGGGACCTCATGTGAGTCTTCTAGAAGCCCTAGGAGATAGATATCATTAGTTTTGTCTTCCAGACAGGGCACGGTGGCCCATGGACACACAGCTAGAGTTAGGATTGGAACTCAGGCTCCAAGAGGCCAGAGCCCACGGGCAGCTGCAGGGTCACTATGGATCTCGTGTGTGAATGTCGTGTGTGTGCGTGCGCGCGTGCCCATGGACGTTTCCCCGAGGTCCTGGCTGCGAATGAGTTGCCCAGGCCTTCCGGAGCCCTCACAGCCTCTGTCCTCACAGGCACTGAGCAGCAGCGTGTACAAGAGCGCCTCGCCCTATGGCTCCCTCAACAACATCGCCGACGGCCTCAGCTCCCTCACCGAACACTTCTCTGACCTGACCCTCACCTCCGAGACACGAAAGCCCAGCAAGCGGCCCCCGCCCAACTACCTGTGTCACCTGTGCTTCAACAAAGGACACTACATCAAGGACTGCCCCCAGGTAAGGCGGCCTGGCCCAGGCGGGGCTCACGGCCCCTACTGCCCCATGGACCAGCTTCTGTGGATGGGGCAGGTGCGGCAGTGCCACCACCCCACCCCTTCCATGAGCAAGGGGCCCTGTGGCCCTCTCTGGCGTTTCTGAGACAAGCATGGCTGGTATGAATGGGACAGAGACCCAGCTTGGACCTGCACTAGCTAGGCAGCAGTCTGGGTGGGGGGCCCCAGAATGAGGTTCCGGACCTTCAAGTCCCTGCCCGTGTTCCTGCCAAGGTGGGTCCTGTTACAGTGAGCAGGACGGGGCCAGCAGCCTCCCAGCTCTCTCCCGAGACCCCCACTCCTCACACTCACAGGGAAGGAATGCAGGCTCTGGGCCAGGAATCTCGGTGTGCGCCCCCTCCCCCCGACCCCACTTTTACCTCCTCTGCATCAGGCTTCCCAGCTGCCTGGAGGGAGAAGGGGGCCTGTCCGGACTCTGCCCCCTCCCCGTGGGTCTGGGGAAGGCACTGCGGGGCAGGAGGAAAGGGGCCAGGAGGTCGAGGGTCTCCCCGAGTGCTCTGCGAGAGGGTGGGGCCCCAGGGCAGAGGCACTCGCGGGAGCCCTGGCTCTCTGACAGCCACGGCCTTGGAGTCCTGGGAGAGCAGCAACAGTCGTTTTAAATCCGGTATGAGATTATCAGTGATTTTTCCCTATTATTTTTTCATATTTTCCAATGTTTTTATGATGTGGTACTACTTTATTTTGTATGTGTAATGGAAATGGAATCCTGTAAACTCAGAAAATCCATGTTGTCTCACCCTCCAGATGTTGGGAGCCGAGGGCATGGCTGGGTGGGGCTGGGTCCCTCCAGGACCAGCGGGGCTGAGATGTGCTTCTGGCTCAGCACGCCCCTCACGAGAGGTCATGCCACGCCTTCTGTCCTCACTGCCTAAAGGACACCAGGCACAGCCGCATCGGTGCTGCCTGGGAGCTGGTCGGATATACAGAATCTCAGGCCCTCCCAGAGCTGCGTTGTAGTCAGACGCCACCCCACCAGTGATTCATGTACACCAGTGGTATTGGCCTCTCTCTACCCCTGGGCAAGAGAGACCCTCCCTGTTTCCTGAGTAGTGGGAGCTGGCCCACTGGTGGCTGTTCTCCGGATCTGCGCTCCAGTGGGCCCTGTCTCCCCCTCAGTGTGCAGTAAGCCGGGGCCTTGAGCAGGAGATTTCAGCAGACGGTGCGGTCTCACCCTCTAGGGGTTTTCTGAATAGGACAAAGGGTAAATGAGCAACTAAGGGCCCAGTTAGTCTTCAGAGTTGTGTCCGTGGCCCACCCAGAGACAGCACCTCCTGTGTCTCCTCAGCGAGCCCCCAGCAGAGGGGTTCTCTGCTCTCGGTCATTCTCAGCAACACCTCAAAAATGTACCTCCATCCTTTCCTGCCTGCAGCTTGGGAGGTAGGCAGAGCAGGACTTGGCCCCACTGGAGAACACGGGCGCTGTGTCAAGTGCCCCCCCAGCATTATCTCACTCAGTGCTCACAACTCCCCGTCGCGTAAAGTGCTTTTATGAGCCTCATGTGACTTGATGGGTTGTGTGAGTCAAGAACTACACAGGGTCGCCCTGGCTGGTTTGGTTCAGCAGTTAAAGCATCGGCCTAAGGAACAAGGAGTTGAGGGTTTGATTCCTGGTCAAGGGCACGTACCTGGGTTGCAGGTTCGATCCCCAGCCCAGGTCGGGGTTGTAAGGAAAAAAGAGGGCTTGGGTGGGGCTGCAGGTTGATGGCAGGAGCGTGGCAGACCCTCCCACAACAGGACCAGAGGTGGTGGGCTGGTGAAGGGGTGTGTGAGTGTGTGCCCACACTGCCCTCTGCAGACAGGGCCAGAGCTCCTCTCCAGGTGGGACAGAGGTCCCTGTGCTCAGTGCCCCTCACTTTCCAGTGCAGGGCTAACCCTGGCTCTTCCTTTACGTGAAGGCCAGCGCATTCCCTCATCCTGTGCAGGGCTCTTAACTCTGGCAGAAACGGGGACAGCACCATTTGGCAGTTGCAGAAACAGTCTCAGAGAGGTGAAGTGCTGAGGAGAGGGCAGACGAATATGAGCACCCCGGTCTTGGGACCTCCATGCTCTTTGCCTCCCTGAGCACCGTGCCACTCCACGTGACACACCATGGCCTGTGGAGCCCCAGTTTCTGCCTCGAACAGGTAGAGGCAGGCCCTCCTCTGGCCCCGTCACAAACCTGTTCTATCTGGGACTCATGCCACCCCAAGGATCTCCCGCCGTCCGTCACGAGAGGTGAGAGGGCAAAGGCTTGAAACATTGATTTCATCTTCTGTAAAATGAGGCCGATAAAGACACTGACTCATAGGATTGTGAGGATCCAATGAAATAATGCATGGCCAGTGCTTAGCACAGTGCTTGGCACGCAGTGGGCACTCAATGAATGTTGGCCAGCATTAGTCTTTCTCCCTTGGGTCACAATGGAGAGTGCACCCTCCTGGCAAGGTACTAGGCATTTTGGCAGGCTGGAATTTAATTGGATGCTCCCCACCCCTCACCTGACCACAGGCTCAGGGGCAGGGCTGGGCTAGATTCCGCTCTGTACTCCTCACTATCAGATTGCCATGCCAGCCCCAGAGACCACACACAGCAGGTGCTCAGTGCAAGCCTTCCTGAAAGAAGGGACTTGTAAAAAAGGTTTTATAAAACCTGGAAACCTTTGCTCAAATCAAATATTATAAAGAGCTCAGAATATATAATATTTAAAAGTGGATTGCTCATTTTGGTAATAGCTTTAATGAGATAATTTACTTACCATATAATTTACCCATTTAAAGTGTACAATTCAGTTATAGAACATTTCATCACCTCAAAAAGAAACCTTACACTCTTTAGCTGTCACCCCTTATTCCCCAGCCCCCAGGAAACCACTAGTTTACTTTCTGTCTCTATAGATTTGCCTATTCTAGACATTTCATGTAAATAGAACTATATAATATGTGGTCTTTGTGCCTAGATTCTTTAGCTTAACATACTGTTTTCAAGTTTCATTCATGTAGTATCATTTATTGGTTCCATGATTTGAGAAGTATTCCATCCTGTCTCTTTTCTGGAATATTTTGTGAAGAATTAATGTTAATTCTTTTTTAAATGTTTGGTGAAATTTATCTATGAAAGCATCTGAGCTTGGGCTTTCTTTTGTCATAGATTTTTTAAATTACTAGTTCAATCTCTTGTTACAATACTATTCAGATTTTCTATTTCTTCTGGAGTCAGTTTTTGTAGTTTATGTCTTTCTAGGAATTTGTCCATTTTATCTGCTATCTAATTTATTGGCATACAGTTGTTCATAATGTTATATTATAATTCTTTTTATCTCTGTGAGCTTGGTATAAGTGTCCTCATTTTTATTTCTGTTTCTTATAATTTGAGTCTTTTCTCTTTTTTACCTTCTAGCTAAAGTTTTGTCAGTTTCGCTGAAATTTTCGAAGAAAGGACCTAGGGTTTAGTTACTTTCCTCTATTACTTTTCTGTTTTCTATTCCATTATTTTCCAGTCCAATATTTTAAAAATTGTGGCAAAATTCATATAACATAAAATGTACCACCTTAACCATTTTGAAGTGTACAGTTTGGTGGCATTAAGTACATCCACAGTGTCATTATCACTGCCGTCCATCCACAGAACTCTTTTTATCCTGCAAAACTGAAACTGTCCCCATTCAGCAAGAACTCCCTCTCTTTCTGTCTCCTGGCCACCTGCACCATTTTACTTTCTGTCTCTGTGAATGTCACTACTCTAGGAACCTCTTATAAGTGGAATCATACAGTATTTGGTCTATTGTAACTGACTTATTTCACTTATAATGTCCCCAAGGTTCAATCACATTGTAGCATGTGACAGGATTTCCTTCCTTTTTTTTTTGTCCTCACCCGAGGATATGTTTTTTATTGATTTTAGAGAGAGAGGAAGGGAGAGAGAGAGACATCCATGTGAGAAACATGGATCAATTGCCTCCCGTATGCACCCCAACTGAGGATTGAACCCTCAACCTAGGTATGTGCCTTGACTGGGAATTGAACAAGCAACCTTTTGGTTCACGGGACAATGTTCCAACCAACTGAGCCATCCAGCCTGGGCGATTTACTTCCTTTTTAAAGGCTGAATAATATTTGTGTGTGTGTGTGTGTGTGTGTGTGTGTGTGTGTGTGTGTGTGTGTGATTACCACATTTTGTTTATCCATTTATTCATCAGTGAACACCTGGACTGCTCCTACCTTTTGGCTATTGTGAATAATGCTGCAATGAACATAGGTGTACAAATATTCTTCTGAGTGATTGCTTTTAATTCTTCACTCTAATCCTTATTATTTCCTTTCTTCAGCTTAGGTTTCTTGAAGTGGAAAGTTAGGTTATTGACTTTACATCTTTCTACCTTTTTATATGTTGCTTCATTATAACATTGATGAGATGCCCTCAGAAATTAACTCCTGTTTATATCAATTAGCCTACAGTAAAATTGGTTTTGTTTTTCAAGTTTCACTTCAAGTCGCAGAACCTATCAACGGTGTTAAGTGAGGACTTACTGTAGATGTTTACAACTATACATTTTCCTCTGAGCTGCATGTATCCCATAAGTTTGGGCATGTTGTGTCTTCATTCTAACTTGTCACAGGGTATTTTCTGATATCCCTCTCTCTTCTTTGACCCATTGGTTACTTAGGAGTGTTATTTACTATCCATATATTTATGTGTTTCCCAGATACCTTTTTTTTAATGATTTCTCATTTTATTCTATTGTGATAAAGAACATACTTTATATCATTTCAGTGCTCCTAACTTTTTTGTGATTGTTTCATAGCCTAGCATGTAAGCTGTCTTAGAGAACAGTTCATGTGCACTTGAGAAGAATGTAGTCTGCCGTTGTTGGGTGAAATGTTCAATAGATGTCTGTTAGGTCTGTTTGGTTTATAATGTTGTTCATGTCTTCTGCCTTGTTGATGTTCTGCCTACTTCTCCTGTCCAT